AATAATGAAAAACCTTATAGTCTAGGTCAGACATATCAAATAGTCCCAAGCAAATGCTACACAACACTCCTATTAGGGAAAACTTTTCTGATTTTATTGGAGCTGTGTGGAACTTGGTAATTTTATATTCTAGATTAGCAGTAAGATCTGTATCTAACATGTGAGGAGGATGACTCTTCAATGACTCTTAGGGGCTAATATTTTTCTTTTTCTTAGAAAATTTATAGTTTTATATTGCTTATATTCTACTTTCCAAAAGTAATACCAGTAAACACAACTATCCGCAAAGAGAGTATCAATATTACTACTGGCTTCTTTGTATTTTCTTCCTCAATCTTGACATTGGCCTGAACTGCAAGCTCTTCAAGTTCTTGTTTTGCAAGTTGTTCTTCCTCAGCATCTTCTTCAAATTCAGCTCCAATTTTCTTTTCAGTTTTGGGCATTAATTTTTCTTGGAGAAATTCTTCAAACTGAATGTGAAAGATGCCCAACTTTTCTGCTAACTGTCTCGCACAGACGGTTTTGCCAGAGCCATGGGGGCCCAGAAGGCATATTCTTAACGGAGGAGCCTGCCAGGAGGGATGGGTCGGGGAAAGGTGGGGTAAGGGAGAGTGAAGAAAAGAAAGTTTTGAGTAATTAAAAAAAAAGGTTAATTAACTGCCTCCCCCAAGACTGAATTATCACTTCATAAACTCAAGGATATTCTGACATTAGGATGTAAATTAACAGGATTCACTGCATCAACAATTGTTCTCTTTATCTCTGAGGCCAAAAGGCATTTGCTAAAATAGAATTTTTTAAAAGTTCTTGTTGAAAAAAATGGAAAGATGCTTTTTAGCATGATAAAAACATCTGACAACTTACATTAAAATGGTATGTCAAAATGATCAAGTGTTATGACATCTATATAGAAATACACAGACTTTCTATGGTATAATGTTAAGAGAAAAAAGATTATAAAATATTTGTGGTAAAATATACACAACGTAAAACTTACCATTTTAACCATCGTAAGTGTATAATTCAGTAGCATTAGTACATAAACAATGTTGTGCAACCATCACCAGCACCTCTCTACAGAACTTTTTCATCATCCCAAACTGGAACTCTGTACCCACTAAATAGCAACTTCTAGTCTCTCTTCTCCACCCTGGCAACCACTTTTTTGTTTTCTGTCCCTATGAATTTACCTTGTATGATACAGTATTTGTTCTTTCATGTTTGGCTTTAATAAATATTTTTTAAAGAAGGTAGAAAACTGGTCCAAAGGTGATAAACAAGTCAGGATAAAAATGTTCCCACAAATTTGGGAAAAGGTTGATTGTTCTATAGCTTCTTAAAGCAATTTTAAAGCAGTTCAGTTGATCAAGGACAATTCCCCTCTGGGAATACTCTTGCAATCTTGTGAATCAGTGACATCCTTTGCTCTTCAGAGTCAAGCAATCAGACACGAATTTGCCCCTGTAATCATGCCTCTCTGAGTTGAACCAAGTTAAGAGCAGTCTCACCTGAGTAATCTCCTTTCTACAGAGGATGTCAGCTCACTGAAGGCCGTGAACCTGTGAATCCCATACCTCCCCCAAATCCTATCTTATGATCAGCAGACTGCTCTGCTCAGAGACTAACTGGATACGGATATAGTAAGTCCCTAGAAAGTGCACAGGATCAATGATTAGAATAGGAACATAGTTTTCACCTTTAATGGTTCTTTATGAGCTACATACTCCTGAGGATATGCCAAAAATTTTTCTCTAGCCTCAGGACTTGAAAAGTAGTAGATCTTTTCTCGATATTTAGCTGCATCTTCTGTGTTGCCTGGTTGGAGGACGAAGTTTTCTTTGAGAACCACTGGACAAAAGTGCTTTGTGTCTCCCAAATGCCTTTTTTTCTCTTTCAATTTATCTTCATTCTAGAAATAGTTTTTAACATTTGGAGAATATTTTTAAAAGTATTTATATGCAATACTAAAGAAGGAATTAAAAAATAATATCTCTTAAATAATATTTAATCCATAAAAATACATCTTTAAAACAATTTGTAAAGGCCAGTTCTATGGCCTTTAAAAAATATATAAAACTATTCATTGACCACTGTTTACCAGTATTTACAATAAAGTAAACAATATACAGTTGGATAACATTCTGTTTACTACCAAGTTATTGTTTTTCTTGGCTTCTATTGAACCAGAAACCCAAATACTGAGACTGAGCCTACATGTGAGGAATGATCTGGAGGAAAAACATGCAAGTCAAAACTTTAGATTACAAAATTTGTTAACTCATTTATTCTAGCAGATCTAAATTGCCAAGGTCTCTAACCACCTGATTAGGTTTCCATGTATAAAGTCTTACACATTTCATGGTCAGAACTTTTTAGTCAATGTAACCCAGGGATTTTAACTTTTGGGAAAGGAACGTCTTACCAGATGAAACCTGTAAATAAGTCTTGCTTGATTAATTAAAACATACCAGGGTTTGCCCAGTTTTCTCATTTGAGAGGAGAGGTTGTTGGTAGTGATAAAATTTTCCTTTCACAAACTTGCATTTATAATTGTAGGTATGGATTCTGATGTAGCTGCTTTTAAATTGTCCAATTTGAGTTGCTTACATTATATTTAAGTTGCCCAATTAATCACAAGTTATCTATTTAATTTCAAAGGTTAAAGCTTCAGGAAAAATTTCAATTTAACTTGAAGTGATTTATTTCTTAGGTTGCTGAAAATGATGGCAGCCCAGAAACATGAGTTTATCTATGGTTTTGAAATGCTGTTTTTGTTTTTGTTAAGAAAAATAAAGGAAAACCATTTACATTTACATCTGTATACACACCAACCATCCCCCACAAAGTAAACAAAACACCCACGATGATCCTTAGGCATATATGGCTTAAACACAAATTCTGACTGAGTAACAACAATGGAGGTTCCCCCCAACATTTAGAAAAGATGCTCTCTAATGCAGAGCAAGGAATATACCGTGGTACCAAATGCTCTTTTCTGATGAAGGAAGCAACTACAGAAAGCTTTTGTTCCAAACTAACCAGTGCTGTAGATGCAACCCACCAACTACTCCCTCAGTACTACTTCAAAACAAACATATCAAACTTAATTTTTATTAGAATATAATTATTTCTTTATGCTAATAAATAAAAAAGCCAAGACCCAGATTTTTATACATATAAATACATATGAAAAGAAATGCAAACAATTATTGGGCTTTGTCTTCTAAACAAGAATGCTGAGTTAGAATCTTCATAAAAAGTAATTACAATTTGAAGACACTTCATATTTGCCTCTTGCCAGCACCAAGTCTGCTTCATCTCAGTCTTCCCATTTCGTGAGAAACATTAATTCTCCACTGCTGCCTATAGCACCAATTCTCCCTTCAGGATCAAGACCTCTGACAAAGCCTCTGGGTTTATCGGCAGCATCTCTTTCCTTGCTTGATTTGCTATCATCAGATTCATTATCAGATAAAGACTTTCTTTTTGTTCAATATTTTTCTTTACCAGCTTTTTGAGAATGAAGAAATGCTTCAATTAACTCTTGGACAATCTAAATTTCTTCAGGTTCCCAAGTACTGTCACCAACTGTGAATCCCTTCCACTTCAGGAAGTACTCCACCTTCCCGTTCACTGCGCATTGGTGCAATACTTTTTCCACTACAAATTCTTCAGGCTCTGCCTCTTCAACTTTTTTACACTTTCCATTCTGTTTCTTTCCCATCATTTGCAAAGTAAGTGGCCTTTTAAAGTATGTTTTGTTGATTATGCTATTCCATTGTCCCATTTTCTCTCCCCTTTATCTTCCTCTGCCCTGCACCCCCCTTCCAACAGCATTCTCCCTCCCTTAGTTTATATCCATGGGTCATACATATAAGTTCTTTGCCTTCTCAATTTCCTGTACTATTCTTAACCTTCTGCTGTCTATTTTGTATCTACCATTTATGCTTCTTATTCCCTGTACCTTTTCCCCCATTTTCCCTCCAGCTCCTCTCCACTGATAACTCTCCACATGATCTCTAATTCCTGTGATCCTGTTCCTGTTTTGGTTGTTTGCTTAGTTTGTTTTTATTTTGGGGTTCAGTTGTTGATAGTTGTGAGTTTGTTAGTTTGATAGTTTGTTGTCATTTTACTGTTCATAGTTTCCATCTTCTTTTTCTTAGATAAGTCTCTTTAACATTTCATATAAGGGCTTAATGATGATGAACTCCTTGAACTTGACCTTATCTGGGAAGCACTATATCTGTCCTCTATTCTAAACAATAGCTTTGCTGGATAGAGTAATTTTGGATGTAGGTCCTTGCCTTTATGACTTTGAATACTTCTTTCCAGCCCCTTCTTGCCTGCAAGGTTTCTTTTAAGAAATCAGCTGATAGTCTTATGGAAACTCCTTTGTAAATAAGTCTCTCCTTTTCCCTTGTTGCTTTTAAGATTTTCTCCTTATCTTTAATCTTGGGGCAGTTTAATTATGATGTGTCTTGGTGTGTTCCTCCTTGGGTCCAACTTCTTTAGGACTCTCTGAGCTTCCTGGATTTGCATGTCTATTTTCTTTGCCAGATTGGGGAAGTTCTCCTTCATTATTTTTTCAAATAAGTTTTCAATGTTTTGGTCTTCCTCTTCTCCTTCTGGTACCCCTATAATTCGGATGCTGGAACATTTAAAGTTGTCCCAGAGGTTCCTCAGCCTCTCCTCATTTTTTTTAAATTCTTGTTTCTTCATTCTGTTCCTGTTAAATGTTTATTTCCTCATTCTGCTCCAAATCATTGATTTGAGTCCCAGTTTCCTTCCCTTCACTGTTGGTTCCCTGTATATTTTTCTTTATTTCAATTTGTATAGTCTTCATTCTTCCTTTATTTTGTGGCCATACTCAATCATTTCTGTGAGCATCCTGACTACCAGTGTTTTGTACTCTGCCTCTGATATCTCCTTGTCACTTAGTTCTTTTTCTGGAGTTTTGATCTCTTCTTTCATTTGGGCCATATTTATTTTTTTTATTGCAGACTTGAAGAGCTATTATTCACTGCCCCCGTGTTGTTCCAGATCCGAAGTCCACGGTGTCTCTGGCCCTGCACATCTCCAGCCCGAGCCACATCCAAGGAAGAGGGGGCCTTGACCCATGCACTGGGCTGCTGCTCTGAGAAGAGGGTTGGCCTTTTAATTAGTTAATTTAAAAATCCGTTTTTCATATCCCTTTAAGTTCATATCTTAAGCTTCTTTATTTTCATAAAGAAAATATGCAGCACTGAGAATGAAGTTGCACCCAGCTCTCTACAGACATAGGTGTAACAAAAGACCCCAGGGTTTTCTACTCTGGGGCAGAATCAGTTTCTAAAATAAAATTAAGAAGTAAAAGCTGAATCATGGTTACAACTTCTTACCTATTGAAAATGAAATGTGAGATGCTTCATGATTTGCTTATTTGCTACTAAGTGGATATGTAATCAAATAATTTGAGCCCTGGTTGATGTGGCTCAGTGGATTGAGTACTGGCCTGCGAACCAAAGGGTCTCTGGTTCAATTTCTATCAGGGCACATGCCTAGGCTGTGAGCCAGGTCCCCAGTAAGAAGTGTGTGAGAGGCAACCACACATTGATGTTTCTCTCCCTCTCTGCTTTCCTTCCCCTCTAAGAGTAAATAAATAATACCTTAAAAAAACAAATAATTTGAAAATATTTTATTTCATTCCATTGGTAATTTGTAACTTATTTTCATTATGAAAAATAAAGAAACTATGTGTAAAGCCCTTTAAGAATCCTTGCAATTTATTTACTTAAAGAGTTCATTCATTCATTTTTAGAGAGAGTGGAATGGAGGGAGAAAGAGAGGAAGAGAAGCATCAATGTATGAGCAATACATGGATAGATTGCCTCTCACATGCCCCTGAACAGGGATCCGGCCCATAGCCCAGGTATGTGCCCTGACCAGGAAATGAACCAGCGATCCTTCAGGTTGCAGAGCAACACTCAGCTCACTGAGCCACACCAGTCAGGCCTACTGCAATTTATTTAAAGCAGTAGACGTACATTTAAGAAGTTTCTGTGGTATAAAATACATGCTTATGTAAAATTATTCAAAACTTCTCACAATGCATGAAGAATAAAATTTTTCTCTCACATTTTCCCTTCAAATACTATATTAACATTCTCCAAAGTGGGTAGGATCAAGGGTGGGATGTGAAGATGGCTGGGGTGGGGGGAGTGGTAGGGGGAAAATGGAGACAATTGTACTTGAACAGCAATAAAAACAAGTTTAAAAATGAAACATTCTTAATGGTTTTATGTGTACTTTTCCATACTCTTTTTTCTAAGTAATCCTACCAACATACATACAAAAATAGACATATACTTAGGCACAAATACATTATTTTTTAAATATAAATGAATATTTTACAAGATTACTACATGTCTCAATTTTTTGTCCAAAACAAGATACAATAAACAACTTTTGGTAAAGGTACAAAAATGATACTAATTTCTATTTTCTTGCACTACTCTACTACTCCTAAAAATTAAAAAAATAATTTATATTATTTGATATAATTTTAAGATTTTCAATTATAGTTGGCATACAATATTATATTAATTTCAGGTGTACAACATAGTGGATAGACATTTATATAACTTACAAAGTGATCACCCTGATATGTCTAGTACCCAACTGGCACCATACATTGTTATTATAGTATTATTGACTGTATTTCCTATGCTGCACTTTACATCACCACGAATGTTATCTTGTACTACTTTTGTTTAATTTTTGTATCAGGGTTATGCAAGTCTCATAATGAGCTGGGAAGTATTGATCTTCTTCTATGATGTGGATGGTTTTAAACAACATAGGAATTATCTAATCAACAAAGGTATATTAGAAATAACCTAAAACTCCCATTATTTTTGTTTGTTCAGCTTTTATCTTTCTTCCTAAGCAAATTTTAGTAACTCATATTTTGAAAATCTATCTCACCTTAATTTTAAAGTTAATTTATTAGTATAAAGTTCCTGTAATTTAAAATAACCCTCTTTTTTATCTAATTATGTATCAGTACTTTTTTTGTTTTCAGGTGTATTTGATTGCTTCTTCTTTTTACCTAATTTGACTTGACGGAAGTTTTTCTATTTTGTTGCCAGTGAACCAACTTTTAATTTTTGGAAATTAGGTCTACTGTTTTTATTTGCTCTTGTTTTCCTATTTCACTAATTTTTGCATTTACTCTCCTGCTTTCTACTTTCTGTTGATTTATTTTGTTGTGCCTTTTTCTGGGTTCCTGAGTTTAAGGCTTAATTAATTTTTCTAGGCTTTCTGATTTTTCAATAAATGCACTTATGAAGAGGGATCCCCCCCAAAAAAACTGGAATTATCTTCTGGTGGGTGGGCCCCTTGTAGTACAGGCTTCCCCTATCAGGTGTGTTCTAAGAACCCATCTGTATCAGCGTACCAGTTGGCATTGTTGTGAGAGGCTGCATTTGGCTTCAGTGAATTTTATTTTGAAGACTCCTTCAACTCATTTGCCCATTCAATGATAATGCACCTGCCCACACTGCACTGAGAGTTCAACGGTATTTGACAAAAAAGAGCAAGACTCCCATGCCCCACTCTGCTTACTCACCAGATCTTGCCCAGAGCTACCATTTTTTGTTTTCCCAATAAAAACATCCTCAAAAGGAAACGTTTCTCTGATGTGGAAGAGGTGAAACAAAAAATGGCGGAAGCACTAAAAGGCATCAGAATTGACAAGTTCAGACTTTTGGCCAGGATGGAGGTGTAGGTGGAAATACTTACCTCCTCACACAACCAAATTTAAGACTTAGAAACAAAAACACAACCAGAACAGACAGAAAATTGAACTGTACCCAATGAACCATTCTTCCAGATGGGTAAGAGGGGCGGAGTTGGCAGCCAGGAGAGAGGAGTCCCAGCAGGGAGAGGCAGTACTTAGCAGAACCGGGTGCAGAGAGGAATTGAGCAAACCTAGTGAGGCCCACAAGGTAGCTGGCCTGAACATGGACACACATTTGTGTGCAGATAAACCAGGCAAAAAACAGGCAGTGAGACTGACCACTCAACCCAGGGTCCCAGTGACAGGAAATAAAGCCTAAAACACCAATTGGAAAAACTTTCGGGGATTAAGGTGCCAGGAGAGACTCCAGCCTCACAAGAAAGTTCATTGAAGAGACCCATAGGGTCCTAGAATGTACACAAGCCCACCCACCTGGGAACCAGCACCAGAAGGGCCCAGATTGCTTGTGGGAAGCAGCAGAGGGGACCGAAATTCGAGAAAGAGAGGAACAAGCTCCATCACTCCCTCTCTGACCCTACCCCCACATACAGTGTCACAGTGCAGCGACTTGGGTTGCCCCGCCCTGGTGAATAGCTAAGGCTCTGCCACTCATACATAACAGGCGTGATCTGACCAAAAATGGCTCAATCAGAATAACAAATCAAAGCCCCAGAGCCAATACTTTTAAGCAGCAAAGAGCCAACCTATCAGATGCATAGCTCAAAACACTGGTGATCAGGATGCTCGCAGAACTGGTTGATTTGGGTCACAAATTAGATGAAAAAAATGAAGGCTACACTAAGTGAAATGAAAGAAAATGCACAGGGATCCAATAGTGATGGAAAGAAAACTGGGACTCAAATCAATGGAGTGGACCAGAAGGAAGAAAGAAACAAACAAACAGAAAAGAATGAAGAAACAAGAATCCAAAAAAAAAAAAAATGAGGAGAGGCTTAGGAACCTCCAGGACATCTTTAAACGCTCCAACATCCGAATTATAGGGGTACCAGAAGGGGAAGAGGAAGAGCAACAAGTGGAAAACTGATTTGAACAAACAATAAAGGAGAATTTCCCCAATCTGGCAAAGGAAATAGACTTCCAGGAAATCCAGGAAGCTCAGAGAGTCCCAAAGAAGTTGGACCCAAGAAGGAACACACCAAGGCACATCTTCATTGCATTAGCCAAGATTAAAATGAAGGAGAGAATCCTAGAAGCAGTAAGAGATAAGGGGACAGTCACCTACAAAGGAGTTCCCATCAGACTGTCAGCTGATTTCTCGAAAGAGACCTTACAGGCAAGAAGGGGCTGGAAAGAAGTATTCCAAGTCACGAAATGCAAGAACCTACATCCAAGATTGCTCTATCCAGCAAAGCTTTCATTTAGAATGGAAGGGCAAATAAAGTGCTTCTCAGATAAGATCAAATTCAAGGAGTTCATCATCACCAAGCCCTTCTTCTATGAAATGTTAAAGGGACTTATTTAAGAAAAATAAGATAAAAAATATGAACAGTAAAAGGACAGCAAACTCACAGTTATTAACAACCACATCTAAAACAAAAGCAAACTAAGAGGACAGCTAGATCAGGAGTGGAGCCACAGAAATGGAGATCACATGGAGGGTTAGCAACAGGGGAGTGGGAGGAGGAGAGGTGGGGAAAAGGTACAGAGAATAAGTAGCATAGATGGTAGGTAGAAAGTAGACACGGAAGGGAAAGAGTAGTGTGGGTAATGTAGAAGCTACAGACCTTATGACACGTGGACATGAACTAAAGGGGGGGGATGTGGGTGGGAGGGGGTGTGCAAGGTGGAGGGGAATGAAGGGGGGAAATGGGACAACTGTAATGGCATAATCAATAAAATATATTTTTAAAAATCAACAAATTCAAAAACTGTTTTGAGCAGTGGAAAAATGCTTTAAAAAGTGTATTTCATCGCCCTGGCTGGCGTAGCTCAGTGGATTGAGCGCAGGTCTGTGAACCAGAGTATCGCGGTTCGATTCCCAGTCAGGGCACATGCCTGGGTTGCAGGCCAGTTCCCAGCAGGGGACTCAAGAGAGGCAACCACACATTGATGTTTCTCTCCCACTCTTTCTCCTTCCCTTCCCCTCTCTCTAAAAATAAATAAATAAAATATTTTAAATAAAAAAAAAGTGTATTTCATCAAATGGAGAGTACTTTGAAGGTTTAAATATATAGGAATAAATACACGATTTTTTATAAATCTTGTTTTTTGAGGGCTCTCCCCTCATATGTGTTTATCTGTGAAATCATCACCACAATCTGGATAATGAACATATTCATCAATACCACAATTTCCTCATGCCTCTTTCTGGACCCTATTTGCCTCCTACCTGCCCCACCCCCCAGGCAACCACTGCTGTTTTCTGTCAATATAATTACCATGCATTTTCTAGAGTTTTATACACATGTAATCATATAGTTTTGATTTATTTTTTGGTCTGGCTTCTTTCTGTTAGCATAATTATTTTGAGATTCATTTAGATGGTTGCATGTATCAGCAGTTTTTTTATTTATTTACTTTTTGCCATGTACTATTCCAGGTTTAATTACCCCAATTCCTGATGCTTAGATCCTATTCAACACTACTCAGTGGGCAGTGGGAACAGGCATTATTTCTGCTCTTGTGTGAGATCTAAGTACTGGTCCCACTAATCTCATCAGGTGGTACTTCCCCAAATCCAACCCCTTTTAGTGCATCTTCTTCAGAAAGACTATTGAGATTTTAATACATATCTTCCCAGAATTTTTCTTATAATGTGGTATACATGTTTTGCTTTTTTCTGAATAGCGCATTTCTTCCTTTTTTCTAGTAACATAACCTTCCTCCCTCTTCTCATGGAGAATTGCATCTTCCACATTCTGAGGAGCTCACATGGACCAGATGATCACAGTAACTCCCTACCTCACAGTCATTAGGTGGGCATGTTACCAAAGTTGGTTTAGTCATACTAAGTCTTCTGGTTACTGTGATTAGTCAGGACAACTGACTGAGACAGGAAAGCAAAGTTCTTTCTTGCTATTTTTCCAGGTGGATGTAAGGATAGTGTTCTTTTGCCTCCTAGGTCAAAATTTCTAAGAACTTCTGGTAGCTATATCTGCTTTGTTTGAGAAAAGCACCTTTGCAGATATAATTAAGGATCTCAAGATGATATGTATAATTTACTATCGGGGGGGTCCCTAAATCCAACAATGAGTGTCTTTATAAGAGGAGAAGACAAAAGAGGAGAAGGCCATGTTCAGACAGAGGCAGAGATGGGAGTTAAGCAGCCATAAGCTATAGATTGTCTGGAGGTACCAGAAGGTGCAACAGGAAAGGAAAGATTTTCCCTAGAACCTTAGACAGAGCAGTACCCTATTGACACCTTGAT